CACACACACACACTCTCTCTCTCTCTCTCTCTCACACACACACAGTCTGTCTCGCTCACACACACACACACAGTCTGTCTCTCATTCTCATGACGCAAGGCATGAATGTGGTGAAATGAGTCTCACCTGAGTCCGCTAACATTGATAATGGCGTTTCTGTTCAACCACTGAATATTTGACTCTTTATTCTTTAACTAGACGAATAGTTTCCTCCTTTGTTCTTGAACGAAACACATTAAATCCAGCATCGTTTATTCTGCCTCATCTGCAGGAAACTAACGACCTCACTTCCGCTCTTGCGCTTTACACCACAAACCAAAATAAAAGTCCCCCCGTCTGGACTTCTTCGCTGTTGTGTGTTATTATCATATTGATGCAGGACATGTAAGAACTCGCGTTTTTTAAAATAGTCGGCGCGGTTTGATCATTTTCTCGCGTAAATTAAGAAAAGGACAGGAGCAGTTCAGCACTTGAAGGCTTTGCCTCTGAAGCGGAAGTTTGTCTCGAGCAGCGCTCCGGAAGCTGCGCGCGTTACCATGGCGACCGCTGCTGTTGTTATGATGCGCTCCTGAAGCTTCGTGAGCGTGAGATGATCAGACATGCTGTCCAGCGGCTTCGTCCTGAGCGAGAGGAGGCTGCAGTCTGAGGTGTGTCTCCGTGTCTGTCTCTGACTCGCCGCTGTTTTCCAGGCTGTGAGGGTCACCGATCTCTCTCGAGTGCTTCAGCTGCTGCAGGATCCGCTCTCAGTAAGACTCCGTGTGTATGGCAAGCCCTATTAACATTTAATGCTAACACCTTCTATTTCCATGCTACCAGTATGTCTTCTTTAACTACTAGTATCTTTCCCATTAAGTACTAGTACTTATTTATTAGTTACTAGTTCCTATTATTTAAGTTAGCTACTAATGCTTTTTTTTTTTTAGCTAGGCATACTAGTAACTTTTTAGATGCTTGTACTTATTCATTAGATACTAATGATTATTTTATTTACAGGTAACTTTTATTTATTTATTAGATGCTAGTTTATTATATACTATTAGTACTTATTTCAGTAGTGACTAGTGACTATTCTACTGTTACTAGTTACACATTTCAAATCTATACCCTTGTCTTCTATGGGATCTGTCATTCATATATCAACTATTCAGTTCTGAGTAGTATGTATTCCAATAATGACTAGTATCTTTTTTAAATTTTACTAGTAAGTATTCATTACATACTAGTATTTATTTATTAAATACTATTGATTTTCATTAGATACTAATTAGTTACATTTATGTAGCGCTTTTCTGGGTACTCAAAGCGCTTTACATGAAAGCGGGGGAAATACTAGTACTTATTTCATAGGTATTAGTAGTTGTTCATTGGGTGCTAGTAGGCCTACTTATTTTTAGACACTAGTACCATTTGTAATTGTTACTAGTAACAAATCTTATCTTACTAGTTACAACTGCTTTTTTTACTCGTCTTATGATGTGAATAGTCAGAATGGCCACTGTAAAGTTCAATAAAAAAAATGTTATTAGTAAAATAAAAAAATCATGCTAGTAACATTTGAATAAGTACTAGTATCTAATGAATAAGTACCAGTATGTAATTAATAAATTACATACTAGGTAAGAAGGTAAGAGTATCTGATGAATAAGTACTAGTATATAATGATTAACCACTAGTATCTAATAATAGGTACTAGTATCTAAAAAAGAAGTGCTAGTACCTAATGAATAACTACTAGTATATAAGAAATAGCTACTAGTCACTATTGGAATGTTGTACTAGTATTAATAAGTACCAATATCTATTTATTTGGTAGTAGTATCTAATGAATAAGAATGAAATCTTCAATGCTTCATGTCCTGAAGGAGAAGTCGTCTGATGAGATGAGCTATGCCGCTGTGGTGACAGACTGTGTGTCTCAGATGGGTGAGCATATTAACCACATGATCAGCAAGAAGATTTAAAAAAGAAGAAATTAATTCCTTCATTCATCAAGGATGCATCAAATTGATCAAAAGTGACAGTAAAGACATTTATAATGTTACAAAAGATTTCTATTTCAAATAAATGCTGTTCTTCTGAACTTTCTATTCATCTGTGAATCCTGAAAAATAAAATCTATCCCGGTTTTCACAAAAATATTGTGCAGCACAACTGTTTTCAACATAGATAATAATCAGAAATGTTTCTTGAGCAGCAAATCAGCATATTATTATGATTTCTGAAGATCATGTGACACTGAAGACTGGAGTAATGATGCTGAAAATACAGCTGCGCATCACAGAAATAAATTACAGTTTAACACATATTCACAGAGAAAACAGCTGTTTGAAACTATAATAATATTTCACTGTTTTTACTGTATTTTTGATCAATAAATGTAGCCTTGGTGAGCAGAAGAGACTTTAAAAAACATTACAGAGAAATTAGAATATAACAAGAATCACACAGAAAAAAATAAAATTTTACTTTTAAAAGTAAAATAATTTGGAATTAATAATTATCATTTGGTGTTAAATGTGCTCAAACAGACATGCAGATTATAATTTCTCTTTTGTGGTGATATCTGATTGCAGCTTAAGCTAAATTGAGTGTATTCCTGGATTTCTGAGTTCTGGCGTTTGTGTGCACATGTTCTCTCTCCGCTGGATGAGTGTATTCTCTCTATAATGAGTGTGTTACGACAGGTGTTCTGATGAGGATCCCGCTGCTGCTCGACTGTGATCGCCTTCTACAGCCGCGACAAACACAAACACCGCTCTGACGGAGAGAGACGTGATCCAGCTGTGTGTGTGTGTACTGATGTGTGTGTGTGTGTTCAGTGTGTGTACTGATGTGTGTGTGTGTGTGTGTGTGTGTGAACAGATCTGGCAGCATTAATAATGTCGTTCACAGGTGGGTGAGGTTGTACTCGAGGTCTCGGCTGAGCTGTTGAATGATGAAGCGGCGCTGAAGTGCGTCCTGCAGGTGACTGAAGCCAGGGCTGAGAGCGTGCGCTCGCTGCAGCAAAGCATTCTGGGCCGTCAGCAGCAGGAGGAGCAGCTGTATGAAGAGGTAAAAGCGTCCCGTCGCCCGTATGTCCCGCACGAGCCACAGCGCTGACAGCGTTTGATCCGTTTGATTGTGTTCCAGATCCGCTTCACTCAGAAGCAGAGAACCTCAAACTACAGCGTCCTGAAGGTCTGAAGCCTGACCGCGTTCATCTGCGTGCATTCTGAGTGTCTCTGCATTGATTCTTTTGTGTTTGGCAGGAGTTCAAGCATCTTCATGAGGAGCGGAGCACCCAGAGCCTCCGAACACACTCTCAGATCCATAAACCAGCGTCAGTCGCTATAGAGAGAACACAGCCGAGTTCATTTAATACCACATACTCAGCATTAGCATGCTAGTGTCACTGCTGGACCATCATGAACCAATGAGCTCCTTCCAACATGGCAGAAATGATAAGCAAAGCCAAATATAAACGCTGAATGTTATCCATGAGGATTGTGCAAACGAGCATTTAAATAATTAATAAAATAAGAAGGCAGAGCCAGAACGCACTTGTGTGTTTATTTAAGGTCACATTTATTTCTACAGCGCTTTATACAGTACGGACTGATTCAAAGCAGCTTCACAGTAATAAACAACCACGTTAATGTTGTACAATTAATCAAATATGAAACAACACAGTGTACGCTGTAAAGCAGCTCTACAGAAGACGGTAGAGTAATTATTCAGATCTGTTCAACTCTCCAGATTCGGTTCTCGAGCTGCTGTAATGAGACTTTCTATCTAAAGAAAGCTTTATCTTTAATGCCAGTGACGTTGCATTGAGAAGCAGGACTGCTGTGATTACACTAAATCTTCCTCTGATTCAGATGGAGATGAGGTGGATGTGATCGTGACACGAGAGAAACTGCGACACAGATCCCTCATCACAGCTGCAGAAAACACTGATTATGTGCGTTTCAAAAAACTAAAAAGGCTAACTTCTACATTCACTTTATTCACTGAAATTATGATTATTTTTTAATTAAACACACAAAACACACCTCAGAGATACACTGAACAGATATAACGGGGTCCAAAAGTCTGAGACCACCAATGTAAATTATTCTGTTTTACATTATATTCTAATTAATACTAAATTGTAATTTCAAATTATACAACTGTTATCCCTGATGAAGTTTTATCCAAACAGTAAAGCTCTGTGTGTCCCAGCATCTTAAAGTCCCCCTGTGGTGACAATCAGGTGTACATGTGTCTGCAGGGGCTCTGTAACGAGGGAATGTTAGGACGAATCCAAGGGCCTGACGAGGGACTGGGGCCCGAGTCAATATGCTGTTCAGGGGGCCCAGGAACCATAGTGGCGCCCCGTGTGTCTATAATATGCTTAAAGACAAACCATGTGCAAATTTATCAGTCAACACGATGGCTGAGCATCTTCTCCTTTAAAGTCTGTCTAAAGGCAATTCAGAGAATAGTTTCTAAACACATTATAAATGTTAGAAATGTATTGAATGTGAAGTCAGACACTATATTATTTTGTCATCTTTATTTTGTTTAAAGGAGTTCAAATGGTCCTTATCAACTTTGATTGACATGGCAATAAAAATCTATCACATTATTTTGACGGTTAAAGTTTTGGGCGGGTTTTAGTGAGCTTTTGTGCTGGATCTGGCAACACTGGGGGCGGGGCTTCTCATATCATTATCATTATCAGGTCTGTTAGAAAAGAAGAGATCTGCAGGGAGTTGCTTGAAGTTATGTAGTAAATGCACAAAAACAGGTCACACATTAAAGGGAAAAGCTGAGGTACAAAAATCCGTGTATCATTCGATCATTCGTTTTTTGATTTAATATTGAAAGTAGAAAAATTAGAAAACGGCTCCTTTTTCGTTTTTTTTTGTTTTTTTCCAAAAAACGAAAAACGAAAAACGAAAATTCAGCTTAAAATATTAAATAAAAAAACGAATGATCGAATGATACACGGATTTACAAAGATAACGATGAGTTTAAATTAAGGACGAATTGTTTCGAATTGGACGAAGTGAGTCTGATCACGGGAGGCTGGTTTATATCTGAATGCTGGAAAAACTTGCTTACAGTGAAGGACACGCTACAGTGTGTGTGTGTATGTGTGTGTGTGTGTGTGTGTGTGCGTGATCGATCTCGTGCTGTCACGCTCAAACATCGCGATACGAGTCTCGCTGGAGTTTAAGTTTTGCGGCTTTTTCGTGTGTGAGAGTGAAGGACTGACAGTGAAGATGAAGAAGAGGATGAAGATGCTGCTGCTGCTCGGGTTTTGCTGCGGAATGGTGTTTGGTGATCAGAATCGCTCGGATCCTCATGA